CTTTAACACTCAAGGTAATCTCACCCATCCATTCATGTCTCCCTGCTTTTATTTTGCTAAGAAAACACCCCCTAGCATTTCTAGCTGTTGCCACCCTGAGTAAGGGCAGATGATTCATGTAGCATTTACTTCCTGGAATCCATCTGCCCTTAGCTCAGGCATGCTAGCAGGATTGTGTGTTTAGCTGAGAAAACCCTCCCTCCTGAAGACTCCTGGGATGTATGACATCATTTGCATAGGCCTGGAAACCAGGAAGTAATTTACACAAACACGCACATAACTGTGTATGACCGTAAATGTATTGCATCGGCCAGAATAAATGAACATTTTGGAAAGTAGAATGAATTTATGCTCAGTGTCATACAGGCATAAACACACGTACAGTACATACGTAACAATAAAGGCCTTTTTCTGCCAAGTTCCAGCATATTTGGCCTAAAGGGAGAAAGCACACAATGTCCTACCTACTAACAAGAGTTCCATTGGCTAAAAATAACTTAAAGTAGAACTATAGGCAAAAGTTTTTTTTTCATTTTGGATAGAGCATGGGAGGGTTATAGCCCTTGTCAGATTTTCTTTCACCATCTGTGTCCCATTGCAGAGATTTCCCTTCACTTCCTGTACCATAGCCAAACAGGAAGTAAGAGGAAATCAAATGAAGGGAATCCCATGGTGACCTCCCAGGTCACCAAAACTAGTATCCCCATTTGGCAGATTTCCCCTCTATTACTTTTCTGGGGACAACCCAAAATGTGGGATTTTCTTTTACTTTCACGTTCAATAATAATGGTAAACAGGACAAATCTCCTTAACAGGGGCACAGATTGCAATAAAACAGACAGGGGTTCTAATCTCTCTCCACTCTATCCAAATCTAAAAAAAAAAAAAAAGGGTCTGCCTTTAGTTTTACTTTAACCACTTTACAACCATGCTATAGCCGAATGACGGGTACAGCGCGGTTCTCCAGTTTCTGGGAGGGCGTCATATGATGTCCTCCCAGAATGTGCCCTCCTGTTCTGGGAGGGCGTCATATGATATCCTCCCAGAATGTGCCCTCCTTTTTCCGGGAGGGCGTCATATGATGTCCTCCCAGAATGTGCCCTCCTGCGGCGCACAGCCGGTGCTGTTTGTGTTTGCGATGTGATGCATACACAGCTGATCACATGACAAGGGAAAAGGCCAATCACAGCAGGCTTTTACCATGTGATCAGCTGTCCAATGACACAGCTGATCACAAAGTAAATACAGATGCCAGTTATCGGCAGCATTTCCCTCATGCTGTCACAGTGTGAGGAAAGTACTGCCGATAACTGGCAAGTGTCACAGAGGACATCCGCACTGATAATCAGGACACTGATTATCAATGCCCCAATTATCAGTGCAGCCCCAAGAGTGCTCATCAGCGTCGCCTATCAGTGTCCATCATTGCTGCCTATCAGTGCCCATCAGTGCTGTATATCAGTGCAGCATCATCAGTGCCTCCTCATGAATTCCTACCAGTGCCGCCTCATCAGTGTCTTCTATCAGTGCCCTCTATCAGTGCTGCCTATCAGTGCCGCCTTATTAGTGTCCATCACTGCTGCCTATCAGTGCCCATCACTGCTGCCTATCAGTGCAGCCTCACCAACACACATCAGTGAAGGAGAAAATGTACCTGTTTGCAAAATTTTATAATGGAAACAAAGAAAACCCTTTTTTCAAAATTTTGGCTCTTTTTTTGTTTATAGTGCAAAAAATAATAAAATACCAAGTGGTGATTAAATACCACCAAAAGAAAGTTCTATTTGTGTGAAAAAAATAATAACAATTTCACATGGGTACAGTGTTGCACGACCACGCAATGGTCCTTCAAAGTGCAACAGCGCTGAAAGCTGAAAATTAGCCTGGACAGGAAGGGGGTAAAAGTGCCTGGTAGGCAAGTGGTTAACTGCTTTCCCACTGCCTTATAGCAGATATACTGCTACAGGACGGCACGGGTGCATAAAAGCACGTATATATACGTGATCTTTCATTTTTGGATAGGGGGCGTGCGCGAGCCGCATGCGCACCCTACCCGTGCTGCCATTCACGGCCGCGGCTGTCAATCAGCAGGTTCCAGCTGGTGATTACCCGCCGGCACCCAGTGATTATGGAGCATCTCCGATGCAAAGGACTGTTTTGTTTACTAACAGTCCTCCTCCCTGTCAGCTCAGGCACACTGCTCTGCACAGCACAGCCATCCAGAGCAGTGTGATTACAGTGAAGCCCACAGACACCGCCCCCCAGTAAAACACTCCCAGCACACAGTTAACCCTTTGATCAGCCCTCATGTTAACCCCTTCCTGCCCAGTGTCATTAGTACAGTGTCAGTGCTTTTTTTTAGCACTGATCACTATATTGGTGTCACTGTGGATGTCAGTGACACCAAGTCAGTTCCTCCCAGTGTCAGAATGTCCACGCTATAAGTCGCTGATCGCCGCCATTGCCAGTAAAAAAAAAAAATCCAGTATCTATACCGCCATTTGTAAACGATTGCCCATCGCATTACATTCAAACTACTAACACAGACATACAAAGCCATTCATAACGCTGCCCCAAACTACCTCACTGACCTGATACCCAAATACCACCCAACCCGCACTCTTCGCTCCTCACAAGACCTCCTACTTTCTAGCTCCCTGGTCACCCACCTCCCACGCCCGACTGCAGGACTTCTCCAGGACTTCCCCCATCCTCTGGAACTCACTACCCCAATCCATCAGACTGTCACCTACCCTCCGTACCTTTAGGCGCACCCTGAAAAACAATCTCTTCAGGGAAGCCTATCTCACCCTCACCTAACAACCGATCTCCTCCACTCCTCCTACCACTCCATCCCCCACAGCCATTTCCTCCTATACCATTATCCCCTCCCTCCTAGATTGTAAGCTCGAAGAGCAGGACCCTTTACCCCTTCGTGTATTGTATTGTTACTGTATTGTCTCATGTACTGTCCCCCACTATAATGTACAGCGCTGAGCAAACTTTCTGGCGCTATCAGGGGCGGACTGACAACTCATGGGGCCCCCGGGCAATAGGGGATCATGGGGCCCCTGTGTTCTTGCCCAAACTCGAAAAACCCTATGAAAAAGGTACCAGGGGCATCTCATGGGGCCCCCTACTGACCCCGGGCCCTCGGGCAGTGCCTGAGTTTCCACATGGTCAGTCTGCCCCGGGCGCTATATAAATAGTGTATAATAATAATAATAATAAACACTATAACTTTCACGTAAACCAATTAATTTACACATATTAGGATTTTTTTCTAGCAAAGACATGTCGCAAAGTACATTTTGGCCAAATTTTGATTTTTTTTTATTTGTTTACTGGACACGTTTAATATCAAAAACCCAATAAAATGCTTTCTCAAAGTTGTCGGCATTTTTTTTTTTTTAAAGTGCAAAAAATAAAAACGCACAGGCGATCAAATACCACGACCGAAAGCTCAACTTGTGGGGAAAAAACACGATGTAAATCTCATTGGGTGCAGTGTTGCATGACCACGCAGTTGTCAGTCAAAGTAACGCAGAGCCGTAACGCCAAAAAAACGGCCTTGTCAGGGGGGTAAATCCTCAGGGGGCAAGTGGTTAACAAATCGCTAAAGGCTGAAATCTGTGCAAAACAGCACATGAAAAACCTGAAGTGTGAAGAAGGCGGAAGCAGCACAGTGCAAGCTCCTCTCTCTGCTCTCTCCTCCTATCAGCACACCTGATTGGCTCCTGTGCTGCCTTCTCTCTGAGCTCTGCTATATAGTGTACTGTACGAGACTCACACCAAGTCTTTCCCAGGTAAAAGGCTGATGAATGGAGGTGTAGGCTCGGTGTCCCCCCTGTCTCTCAGTCTCCTGTACACAGGCGGTGTATGGAGCTCGCAGTGTAGACGTGGCATCACCTCCCCTCCCGGCTCTCCTACACGGGGCGCTCCGCTGACCGGACGATGTACCCCGGCTCTCTCTCCGCCCTCCCGCCATGGCTCCTCTCAGGACACAAACCTTTTTCACTCTCCTGCTGGTGTACAGCCCCATCCCGTCCTGGACCTGGGAAGACTTCAGGGAAAATCTGTCTGGCACGTACATGCCCAGCATGTTTATGGCCGTGCTGTGTAATAGCTAGGAGCGGGCACAGGAGGGTGGCCGGGCCGGGTGCTAGTTTATTGCAATGTGTGGGCAGCAGCAGTGCAGGGCCAGGCATCACTCGGGCACTGCGCACCTCCCGGCGCTTCTCTCCGGTGCCCGCACTCCTAGTCAGGGCGGAGAGCTCGCCTCCTATTGGCTGGAAGTTGTGCTCGTCCCAGAGAGCTCAGAGCCTGGCTGAGGAGGAGGATGAGCGCAGTGTGTGTGTGTGTAAGAGTGTGTGCCTCAGGGCGGTGAGGGAGGCTGAGCATTCCTCAGGATGGGAGCTCTCACCACACTGCCACAGCTCACACATACACAACACTCATATCCATATTTCTCTGTCCACCCTGGAGCTTGGAGCAATGACTGCTGGGCCTCATTCTCACTATTCATGTTGGAATTCCCTGGACAGCAATGCTCATACAGGCCCATTCCAAATACATGGCAATGTGCCTTATTTCTTGTAGTGTCAGATCGCACTCTGCAGCCCTGAAATCAAAGTCCTGCGTTCAGAACATCACCACATCCCAACCCTGCTGTGTCAATGGAACTGGCGCCTCGTTCTTAAGTGCAGCAGCGCTTGCTGCCCATCTGAAAAAAAATCTGTGGTAGATCACCTTTAACCACTTTCACCCCCTTCCTGCCCAGGCCAATTTTCAGCTTTCAGCGCTATCACACTTTGAATGACAATTGCGTGGTCATGCAACACTAACCATATGAATTTTTTAGCATTTTTTTGAGACAGATAAAACTTTATTTTGGTGGTATTTATTCACCACTGGGATTTTTTTTTTTTGCTATATAAATGAAAAAAGTTGTGGCAGCTCAGTGGCTGTGGTGGCACAGTAGCTTAGTGGTTAGCACATCTGCCTTGCAGTAAATGGGTCAAAGGCAGGGACGGACTGACCGTTTGAAAACTCGGGCACTGCCTGAGGGCCGGGGTCAGTAGGGGACCCCATGAGATGCCCCTGGTACCTTTTTCATAGGCTTTTTTGAGTTTGGGCAAGGACACGGGCCCCATGATCCCCTATTGCCCGGGGGCCCCATGAGTTGTCAGTCCGACCCTGGTTATAGGTTCAATTCCCAACCATGGCGCCTCCTGCGTGGAGTTTGCATGTTCTCCCTGTGCTTGCGTGGGTTTACTCCAGGTACTCCGGTTTCCTTCCACACTCCAAAGACATGCTGGTAGGTTAATTGGCTTCTGTCTAAATTGTCCCTAGTATGTGTATGTGAGTTAGGGACCTTAGATTGTACACCCCATGAGGGTTAGGGACTGATGTGAATGTACAATATATATGTGTAAAGCGCTGCGTGAATTGACAGTGCTATTTAAGTACCTGAAATAATAAAAATAAAGTACGAAAATTGTGAAAAAAAGTGTTTTTCTTAAAAAATTTTGCAAATAAATAATATTTCTTCATAAATCTTGGCCAACATTTATTCAGTTATCTTTTTAGTTAAAAAAAAAAAAATAACCCAAATTAGTTTATAACTAAAAAGTATAATTAAAAAAAAAAATTTTTTACATTTTTTTTTTTGTATATTATTATTATAATACAGGATTTATATAGCACCAACGGTTTGCTCAGCACTTTACAATATAACGGGAGACAATACAGCAACAATACAGTTCAATACAAAAGGGACAGGAGGGCCCTGCTCCTTGGAGCTTACAATCTAGGAGATTATTATTTATGTTTGTTTTTTTTTTACATACTGTCACCCTAGCAGTACACTGTACTACTTGTGGGGGGTGATGAAGATTTTTTTTTTTTTTTACACTGATTGCTTTTACACCCATAAAGGCTGTAAAAACAATCATTTCTCCTCCTCTCTGGGTGCATTCTTGCAGCCAGTGAGAATTACTGTGTGAGCTGTGATTGGTCGCAGCTTGTCACATGGTACAAAGCTGTTGTGAATAGCCTTGTACCATGTGATCTCTGTGATTATTCACAGATTTCACACGTAGTAAGCAATGATGTCAGAAGTGACATCTTGCTTACTACTAATCATGTGATCATTGATTGGCTAATCAGTGATCACATGATCAGGACCTCACACAGAGGTCCCTTACTACGATTGGTGTTCCACTGTGTCCGAAGGACACAGCAGGCATCGGATCGCGGTGCTGCGTGCTCCCAGGGGGCAGGGAGGCTGTTTATAAATTGCCACCCGACCCTGCACTGTCACCGTCCGGCTGTTTATATACAACGGCCGGACGGAAAGTGGTTAAAGCAGGGGGAAGTTCTGCTTTAAGGCCTCGTCCCCCGCTTCTCGGTAAGGATTGGCATCTTTGGGGAGCGGGTACCCGATTTTGACAGGTACCCGCTCCCACTTCTGCTGCAATCACCTAGGTGAACGGAAGCTGAAGTTCTTCACCTCTTCTGCAGTCTTCTGGGACACGTGACAGGTCCCAGAAGACTACGGGACCATTCACAAGGCACAACGCTACTCACACATGTGCAGTGGGCACCCGGCTGTGAAGCTGCAAGCTGTTATAGCCAATGCCCACACTTAGGATGCTGGGGACACAGGATGGTCAGTGAACCCGACTGAGGTGAGGACACTGCTGGATCACAGGACAGGTGAGTGGTTGTTTTTTATTAGTCAACAGCTACAGTTTTTGTAGCTGCTGAGTTTTGTTTCACCAAAGACTGGACTAAAAAAAATATGAGTATACCTGCCTATGTTTATTTCACCCTGGTCACATGCTCCCATGGCTCTGGCTCCCCTGTATCAGACAGCAGTGGCTGCAGGGGTGAGGAGGACATGCCCACAATGGCGTGGAATACCAGATACCCATGATGTTGCTCATAGATTCCCATGTCCCAGCCATTGTTGGTGCTCCCTCCTCTTCCCTGCAGCTGCTGCTGACTGGCACAGGGGAGCCAGAGCTGTGGGATCATGTGACCAGAGCAGAAAAAAATAGATAAGTATACACAATTTTTTTAAACAGCTTAGGCAGTAGAGATAGTAGGACTAGTTAATGTTAGACTGGAATTCCACTTCAAGGGTTCATTCAGACGTGTAGCCAGGGGGCGGGAAAAGCAGGAGGTTGGGCTTCAGTTATACCACCCCCATCCACCCACCTAAACAAGGACATGCAGACAGAGTGGCTGCAGGAGATTGTACACATGGCACATCTGTGATAATTTGCCATTGACAGAAATTAAATCCCGTGATATTTGGCGGCCAGTACTGCCGCTAAATATGACACATTGAAGTTTAAGTGTTGGTAATGTCCAAATTTCAAAAAACTATCCAGTGTTAGTGGGAGTAAATAATGTCCATGCCTTACTGGTCAGTTGAAGTATGAAATGCTCTGACATAATTTGGAATAAAAAATGTCTTTGTGTCAGTGAGCCCTGGTTTACACTGAATGCGTCTTTGAAATGTGAAATTCAAGTGAAGTAGTGCGATTTCAAAGCTGCAGATCAGTGTGATTTGTACCTCTGATTTAACTGCGGCTTGTGACTTCATTTAACAGAAGTCGATGCAAGTCACAATGAAATTGGAAAAAAGTAGCGCAGGAACTATTTTTAAAATCTTGCTACTTCAAGTCACACCAATTAAGTTAGTGCCATAGAAATACTGTAGATGTGACTTCAGGTGTGATTTGTAAATGACATATTGCACTTGAAGTTGCACTGGTGACAAAAAGGGCTTTGAGTAAAAAATATTCCTGCATAAATGGGAGTAAATATATGTCCATGTCAGTTGGTGAAAAAAATGCCCCTATGTCAGTGAAAATAAAAAAATGTCCGTGTCAGCGGAAGTAAAAAAATGTCCCTGTGTCAGCGGAAATAAAAAAATGTCCCTGTGTCAGCGGAAGTAAAAAAATACCCGTGTCAGTGGAAGTAAAAAATGTCCCTGTGTTAGCGGAAGTAAAAAAATGTCCCTGTGTCAGTGGAAGTAAAAAAATACCTGTGTCAGTGGAAGTAAAAAATGTCCCTGTGTCAGTGGAAGTAAAAACAAATACCCGTGTCAGTGGAAGTAAAAAATTTCCCTGTGTTAGTGGAAGTAAAAAAATACCCCTGTGTCAGTGGAAATAAAAAATGTCCCTGTGTCAGTGGAAGTAAAAAATGTCCCTGTGTCAGTGGAAGTAAAAAATGTCCCTGTGTCAGTGGAAGTAAAAAATGTCCCTGTGTCAGTGGAAGTAAAAATATACCCCTGTGTCAGTGGAAGTAAAAAATGTCCCTGTGTCAGTGGAAGTAAAAATATACCCCTGTGTCAGTGGAAGTAAAAAATGTCCCTGTGTCAGTGGAAATAAAAAATGTCCCTGTGTCAGTGGAAGTAAAAAATGTCCCTGTGTCAGTGGAAGTAAAAAATGTCCCTGTGTCAGTAGAAGTAAAAAATGTCCCTGTGTCAGTGGAAGTAAAAATGTCCCTGTGTCAGTGGAAATAAAAAATGTCCCTGTGTCAGTGGGAGTAAAAATCCCTGTGTCAGTAGAAGTAAAAAATACCTCTCTGTCAGTGGAAGTAAAACTTACCACAATGTCAGTGGAAGTAAAGAAGTGCCCCTATGTCAGTGGAAATAAAAAAGTGTCCCTGTGTCAGTGGGAGTAAAAAATACCTCTCTGTCAGTGGAAGTAAAAAATACCCTGCGTCAGTGGAAGTAAAAACTTACCACGATGTCAGTGGAAGTAAACAATGTCTCTGTGTCAGTGGGATTCAAAAAATGTCCCTTTGACAATGCGTGTAAAAAATGCCCCTTTTATCAATGGGAAGTAAAAAATACCTCTTGTGTCAGTGGAAGTAAAAAATGCCCCCATGTAACTGCAGAAAAAAAGTGCCTATTTTGTTCAGTGGAAGTAAAAAATACCTTTGTCAATGGGAGTAAAAAGTGCCCCGTCAGAGACAAAATGCCCCTGGAGTAAAAATGCCCCTGTTGTACAAAATGCACCTGGGAGTAAAGAAATGCCCCTGCAGAGTACAAAATGCCACTGGTCAGAGTAAAAAATGCTATTTCGCGTCAGTGGGAGTACAAAATGCCCCTGCGCCAGAGTACAAAATGCCATGGTCAGAGTACAAAATGCCCCTGCGTCAGAGTACAAAATGCCACTGCGTCAGAGTACAAAATGCCCCTGCGCCAGAGTACAAAATGCACCTGCGTCAGAGTACAAAATGCCACTGCGTCAGAGTACAAAATGCCACTGCGTCAGAGTACAAAATGCCCCTGCGTCAGAGTACAAAATGCCCCTGCGTCAGTACAAAATGCCACTGCGTCATAGTACAAAATGCCACTGCGTCTGAGTACAAAATGCCCCTGCGTCAGAGTACAAAATGCCCCTGCGTCAGAGTACAAAATGCCACTGCGTCAGAGTACAAAATGCCACTGCGTCAGAGTACAAAATGCCACTGCGTCAGAGTACAAAATGCCTGTACATAGCTGGGAGTAAAAATGTCAGAGTATGTTACATTTTACTCGAATCACAAGCCATAACTTTTCTATTTAGTGATCTGTAGTTTTGAGCACATATTTTTCCTGCCCCCGCAGTGTTCTCATATGTGTATTTCATTGAAGGTGGTACACGGTGCTGATCTGTTTGATTGTTGAAAGTAGCAAAAATCGCCACAAAATTGCTGTGTTTATGGTTAGAATTAGAAAACACTTTTAAAATGTCATCTCAGAAATAATACATTTATACTTTTTTCTTTTGTAGAAAACTTAATGATTTTGACTATAATTCACTATAAATTGTACATCAAACTGCAAGTTCTTTCCAAATAATCCCCAGCATTCTAATAGATTGGACATGTGCTGTCTGTTTTACAGCAGAAAGGGTTCCTTAATGGCCTGTGTGTATGTTTAAAACACTTTTCTAGGTGGTTAGTTAAAATGTATTTTACCCCAGCAAATTGCTACACAAAAAAATAACAATATGATTCAGTCCTGGTGAATAGTTTCAATTTACCTTCAAAGTGCTTTGTACATTATAAAGAGATCCTCATACTGTATGTCCAACCTGCATTGATGTACAGTGTGTATCTACTCTACAGGGAAGAGCCAGATTCTTTTTTCTTTTGCAGTGTTTACTTTAATGGGACATAATAATCATACCTTGATTTGTTGCTGCACTCCTACATGGTTTATCTCTTCTTTCTCCCAACAAGACTTCACAAAGAAAACATCTGTATAGTAATCTAAAAAAACAGTAATATTATTATTAATAATAATAAATAATAATAATAAATGGTT